AGACATAAAACCCACTTTAGTTCTGATACAGCTGTTCTCAGATAGGTGGCTTGGCACTGAGGCCGAACTGGGCTTCCTTCTGCTTCCCTGAGCAGTTGTCCTGCCTGTCCCCCTCTCTCCACTCCCCACCCCAGCAGGGGGACTAGAGGCCTGCATGCCATGGGAGGAGGAGGTCAGGGTCCTTGGACTGCCCACTTCATGGTCTCCCTGGACATGGATGGATGGGAAAGGAGTGTGCACAGGAGCAGCCACAGGTGGGGCTCCATGAGAAGCAGGGCTGGTGTCACTCCCAGCAGCAGGGGTGATGAGACTGTTCCAAGGGGCCCCACAGCATCTGCCTCCATGCCAGCTATTTATGGAAGACCAGTTTCAGAGCACGGGGCAGGACAGAGGCTACTTGGAAGAAGTTCTACACCACATTCCTCTCACCCAGAGGGGAGCTGTGGTAAGAAGCTCACCTGGATCAGGAGCTTTTCCTTGCCCACCAGGGATGAGGGAGGTGGTGAATGCAGACAGGAGGGCAGAGAGTCGGGCAGTGTCATTCAATCCTGCTCCTTCCTGGGGAGAGATGGAAGTCCCATCCTCCCCATCATGAAAACCCGAGCTCAGAGCAGCAGGGTCCACCATTCGGACCTATAGGACCACCAGCTCACTCACCGACTGACTGTCATGCACTTGCTTTCCTCCTTGGGGGATTAGGCTGGGCACTCCTTTAATCATGAGCAGCTGTCAGGAGGGCAGGACTTCCATTCCCCTGAGCTGGTGCATAGGAAGAGTCAGCAGATTGGTACAAGAGACCGTTATCATCTTCTTTCCATTTGTCTGGGAGTCCAGCTAGATCCCAAAGTGAGGCCAGTACGGCAGAATGGGATAGATTGATTACCTCTTGTTTAAGGCTCTCCAGCCTGCTGATTGCTAAACTTATTGGAAACTGCTACAAAAGTGCTCTTCCATCAAGAGATTTGCATTTTATTTCTACAAGTCTTTGAGCAACATTAGTAACCTGTGGTTGGAACATTTGCCACTTGTTCTTCAGTCTTGCAAAATGTTTTCTCAAAACACTCCATCCTTTTCAAGTCTGTCTGCCCTGCTGGGGCCTCTTCCATGCCACACTTGAAGGTTGGCTAAGGTGAATGTATATTAGCCGCTCACAGCTGTGCTGAGGAGGGCATCGCGATTGTGGAGTCAGGAGACCTGCTGATTGTCCACTGCTCAGCCCTTGCTGTTGGCCTGGCTGCATGCCACAGCTCTGCTTCCTCATAGTCTGTGGACTCAGATCCCTGGCTTGACAAGGTATCAAATTCACTTTGATATAGCACAGGATTAGCAGCTGCAACAAGATACTTATGCAGAACCTTAGGAAAATTCCCAAAGCTCTGGCAGCGTTCATGTAAAAATTTTTCTTTCTTGTAGGAACAAGTAAGATTAGGACTGGTGCTGCTAATCATCAGATGCCAAAGTTGCTGCACCATTCTGTGAAATATCTGCACTGGGTGCGGCAGGGAATGAGAAGCATCCAGTGATTCCTTGCATAGAGCCCCATTAATTTAGAATCCCAGTTTGTTAGCTCTTTCAACACGTGTGTCCATAAATAGATTAGGGAGAGCTTGTTGTCTTCTATCCTAGATAAGGGAAAGAGAACTGTATTTGAATTAAATCAAGGACCCACAATTTCTGACACTGAAAGGTGATAAAAACAGCCTGAAGGCACCTGCTGGTTAGAATGGTGGCAGCTCATGGGAGCTGTAGAGATTTAGACACAAGGACAGGGAACCTTTTTGTTGGCCACTTGGACAATTGAAGAGTCACCCCCTGAGGCAAAAAGCTGACAACAAAGGATCCTCCTGAGGTGTTGGAGGTGGGGTGGGGTGGGGGAGAGGTTAGAGCAGTGAATAAAACAGGTAAAAGACCCTGTACTTAGACAGCTAGTATCCTTGTGGATATGGGCTTACTAGGTCTCAGGCACTGTTCTGAGCACTTCACACACATGAATCCCTTTAACCCCTGCACCTACTTCCACATGGGCACTTCTCATTATCTCCATTTTACAAATGGGTAAACTAAGGCACAGGAAAATTAAGTGACTTATCCAAGTGTGTACAACTAGCAAGTGGCAATTGAGTCTTTCAACCCTGTGAGCATGTGTGTCCCAAACTTTAAAAGGCATACATTTCACCCTGGGGATCTGGGCTAAAAAACAGATTCTGATTCAGTAGATCCGGCGTGGGGCCTGCCATTCTGCATTTCTGAGGAGCTACCAGGTGACACTGATGCTGCTGACCCATGGACCACGTGTGGGGTGGTAAGGGTCCGGACCATGATGGGTGTCCTTGGCCTCCTGGAAACCTAGCTCCTTGGAGATATATGTGTATTGTTCATCTCCGTGTTGTCTTCATCAGGACCTTCTTATCCTCATCTAGGCTTGATTAGCTGAAGCCATGGAAACCCAGCCAAGCTGATTCAGGAGGGGAGCAGGCATAGCCTAAGGGTGCAGAGCTCGTGGAATGCAAGAAGAATAAGCACAACACACCAGGCCTTGTGGGGCCCAGAGTGCCATTGAGCTCTGGTCTCTCACCTTCCCTCTGCTATGCAGGTTCCAGCCTCTGCTCCATTCTGCTCACCTGTTTTCCAACATGGCCACCCACAAAATCCACTGGCTTTTTCAGGCCCAGGGCTCACAATAACCACATGCACTCTGTTTCTTATTTTGAGTGCTTGAAGGGGGAATCTGGCAGTCAGTAGATTACAGGGTCTATAGTATTGAGCAGGTAGGGGAGGTTGAGTGTGATAGACTCATTGTCTGTTATATCTTAGATCACATGCAAGGTCAGATATTCACTAAGAGCTCCTTCCTGGATACTCAGATTGCTTCCTTTGGGAGAGAGCCAGAAAAGAAATAGATAATTCATATATTTACCAACTACCTATCAGCTGCCAGGTAATGTACCCAATGATAAGGATACAGAGGTAGAAGATATAGCCATCACTTTTAAAATAATTTAAATTCTAATGGCAAAGGAGTTCCATGATCAAGGCAAACTCACGCCAGAGCAAAGCTCTCCTGAGAACAATTAGGAAAGCTGAAATAAAATCTATCGGCACTCTGCTTTCTGAATCACATATCTACATTTCATAAATATGTTTGTATTATATAATTACTGAATTATGTACTTGCATATATATCCAGCTATCTTAACTGTTCTCTGAAGGACTAGATAGGTAGGTAGATCACAGAGAAAAGCAGCAAAGTGAGCCCAATTGCTCCGATGTTGAACTCTAAGAAACTCATTCATACTTAAGTAGTGCTTGAGAGAAGCTATGCAGAAAGTGACAACAGAATGTTTAGGAGGTGAGTGAGTTTTTGGTAATCCTAACAGTGAGATAAAAATTGGGAGGTTGTGGTAAATACCCCAGGTTTTTTACTGGGGAATGCTGAAAGACTGATTGAACCCCGACTAAAGGCAAATCAGAAATACACTAGATTCTATAAAAACTGAAACTCAGCCTCTCAACAGTTCAAACCCTGATTAAAGTGACCATCCCCCTTCTCTAACTTCCTGTTGGGAAACCAAAATTTTATCTAGAGCCTCCATGATTTTCTATAGACAATATCTGGCATTCAATTAGACAAAATTTATCAGGCATTCCAAGGAAGATCCAGAGCAAAACAGATAATAGAAAGGAGTCTCTGGGAAGTGCAGATATGAAAGTTTATCAAGCATAGGTATTAAAATGGTGTGACTGATATGGTCATAGAATTAGATGATAAGCTAGAGAAATTCCTGAAAGAATTGGGATATCTGCAAAAGAAACCAATAATATAGAACTGAATAGAACTGAATAAAAATAATACATGAAATTAAGAACTTAATAGAAGGGTTGTACAGAAGGTTAAACACAGATGAAGAGAAAATTAATGATTTGGAAGATCTATCAATAGGAAATGTCCAGTGAAAGGCCCAGAGAGACAAAAGGAAGGAAAATTCAGAATTGAAATCATGACAATAATAACACAAAAGTTTGTGGGAGAGGCAGTAAATTAAATTTAAGTTCTAGGCCATCTTTGTTATATATTTCTTGCCTCTTAAACTTATTCAATCTCTATTCAATTCTGGTCCTAGATTCTCTTGTCTAGAGCTCTTCATTGTGGTAACCCCTGACCACATGTGACTATATAAAGTTAAATTAATTAAACTTAAAGTAAAAATTCAGTTCTTTGGTAAGACTGGCTACATTTCAAGTATTCAGTAGCCACATGTGTCCAGTGGCTGCTGTATTGAACAGTGCAGATATAGAATGTTTCAATCACTTCAGAAGGTTCTATTGAATAATAATCTCATTCCCTGATAATTTACATTTTTCATCAGTTTATTTTCTAGATCTTTACCTATGATGATGTTATCCCTGTGCATGGAATCTTTTCATGGGTCCAGACTCCTTAATGTGAAGTTCAAAGTTTCACAGAGTATAACTCAATTCTGTTTTCCTGCCTATTGAAAGCAGGCAAAGTGAATTCAGTGATCTACCATTACCTGAAAGAAGATATAATGTTCTCAAAATTAGGTGCCTGTGGCTCTGTTTTGCATGGCAAATGGTACTCAGAGCACTAACCTTGAGTCATCCCATGACTTCAGGCTCCTCTATCCAGGAATGCTGGGACAAGTATACTACATTTTAGAAAGACTCCCACTAAAATAAATCATGTATTAACTCTTGGGTTTCCCACTGGGAACTTCTTATTCTTCAAGTCTGTGGGGCAAGCGGGGCTTTTACTGAACTGCATTCTTGCCTTTCACTGGCTTTTAAACATGGACAACTGACTTCACCTCTCCTGTGCCCCAGATTTCCTGGCTGTTAGGCAAAGTCCTTGCACTCCTCCCTAACATGTGAGTTTTGACAACTAAATGTGGTTTTGCAAATGTAGAAATTGAATGTAAGTGTTGTGTGTACTACATGACACTATTTTTTTCATGCTGTGCTGTTTCTTTTTTGTCTTTCAGTCATTTCCCTGAAAGCTTCTGAAGAGTCATCCTTTGAGAAAAAAAAAGAGGCTTGGGCATTTTTTGAAGGTAAAGCTTGTATATTTTTTTATGATAAGATGTAGCCTCACTTTTAGACAATAGGAAGGAAATAGAATATCAAGAAAGGACCCTAACTTCTTAGTTTCTAAGTTGTTTTCATTCTAAACTTACTCAAAGTAAGATGTAAATCCCTGACAGTATCAGCCCACAGTTTTGAAAGAGTAAAAATTAAAACACCAGTCCACATAATTTCTGTTTGTTTGTTTTGTTTTGTTTTGCTCCAGAATTCCTACTCTCAGGTGATATTAGGGAGAAATCTTCAGATATATAAAAATCATAAGTACCTCTACTGTGACTACATTTTATTTCAGGTTGCTTAAGGAATTTGGGGTTCTACAAACAGTTTGCAAACCTTAACCCAGTAATTTTCAACCCATGCCAGAATCACTTATGAAGTGTTAAGAACATTAATGCCTGGGCCACATCTCTAGAGATTCTGATTTAGGTGGAAGTTGTTAAAAGCTCCCCAGATGATTGCATCATGCAGCCAAGCTGAGAACCATGGCCTTGGAACGGTGGTTTCCAAAGTATGATTGCAGACCAGCAGCATATGCATTACCTGGGAGCTTGTTCCAAATGCACATGGCTGTGCTCTGCCTCAGCTTACAGAATCAGAAGCTCTGGGGACAGTGCCCAAGAGATCCAGGGTTTAACAAGACATCCAGGTGATTCTGATGCACATGCAGGTTTGGGCCTTAGGGCAGGGGTTCTCAACAGCGGGTGACTTTTGCTTCTCCAGGGGACAGTTGCCAATGTCTGGATGTATCTTTGGTTGCCACAGCTGTTGGGGGTGCTACTGGCATCTAGTGATAGGGGCCAAGGACGATGCTAATCCTACAATGCACAAGATAGTTGGCTCCAAATAGCCAGAGTGCTGTGGTTGGAAAACCCTGCCTTGGAGTAAGGAGAGTTCAGAGAAATTATTATCATAAAGTGGGTAAGGATTATGATCCTAAGGAATGAAAGACTGTACTTTGTGAGTTCTCTCGCAGAGCCTTGGATCAGTGAAAGGCTGGTTAATGTTCAAAAGTGGTCAGGAACTTTGTAAAGATAATGTCTGGTGAAGGCACAGCATTTATTGATGAGGAACGATCTAGCCAAAAGTATCTAAGGAGATGCATGTCTTGGGGCCTCACCGTCCCCCCTTGCTAACCCAGTGGGTGGTCTGGCAGAAGGAGGGCCAGCCTTAGGGGGAAAGTATTTGCTTTCAAGCCCACCCCTTCCAATCCCTATAAAGCAGTGGACAGAAACACGCTCTGTCTTAGGAAAAATGTAACTTTCATTGTAAACATCATTTGCAAACCATAAGGTGTCACCCACATAGCCTCTAGGAGTAGTTGTTTAGTTTTGTAGTCATGAATATTTTGTTTATGAGATTGCACTTTACCCCAACAATGATTTTTTGTATTCCTTGACATTTCTCTGCATTTTCGTAGCTGCCTTTTTCTTTATTTGATGACTGTCTCCTAGCAAAATAATCCTCATTTCCCTCACTCAGCCTCTCATTAAGAGAATGCTTACTCATTGGCAAAGATGAAAAAGTGCTTTACTTCTCATGGAGTGAAGCAGTAGTAAGGGCAAGGTTTACGTTTCTCCTGAGGCAACCACATTGATGTTTGCCCCTGTCTCTGGATCTGCCCTGTGACCAGGCAGTGTGATGGATGGCAGTATAGAGAGGGCCTGGCTGCCACAGGGGTAGATCACTAGGCATCTATATATCATCAGATGCACCAGAATCTCTGGGGGAGACTCTGGGCTCCAGCCCCTGAGGTTCTGGTTATAACCTTAGGGAGGGGTCAAAGAACTTGCAGGGCCACAGGTGATTCCTATGCAAGTGATCGAGGACCATACTTCGAATACCATGGTGCAAAAACAAGACTATATATTTGAAAATATTGTGGCATTTAAACCCAACATACCCCTCAGCATAATCAGCATTTCTAAAACCCGTTGTATAATTAACAATATCCCATAATTCATGTGCAGCTATAGAATGTCAGGGTTCCTCCCAACCTAACTCTCTACATGAAATCTGTAGCCATTATGTGCTCTCTCCTCAACAGAGCGAATCAGGCCTCATCCAAAAGCAGAATGGGCATTCTCACTATGTATAGTGCCTGCCTCAGAGCAGCTGTTTCCAAAGCAATCTTTTCCTGTGATTTCGGCAGTGGCGGCAGCAGCAGCAGCAGCGTCTCCATGCTTTGCTTTTTTAACCCAGCCATTGCTTTGGCGAGGTTAGAGGTACAGTTGAAACTCCCTGGCGTATAATCCCAGGCCTTTTGCCCTTTTGTTCCTGGACGGGAGAGCTACAGTAGGAGTTGTGGATGGATATCCATCCTCCTGGGGTTTAGTTCCTCCTGGCTGTGAGCCCACTGCACAAAAGAGGCATTGATTGCCAGGCCTGTTTGTGAGATGCTAAAGTGAGTCAAAATCCCTTGGGGCTATTGCTCAGGTATTTCACCCTGAGCAAGATGGTATTACAGGCTAAATTAAAAAATAGAAGTACATAGCCTTATGTCCCAAACTGCCATCTCCTGACTTTTCCATTTGCCCTGGAAATGTACAAGACTGAAACTGATTTTCTTGATTCAGAAGGCAGGGGAAAGTGGGGTTCCTGGACTCTGCTGAGGGGCGCTGGGGTCACTCTTTTTCAAAGCAGCACTGAATACCCTTGCAGGGATCAGGGTTGCTGGGCAACAGGTGCCATCTGCCTAGCTCTGGCTTAGTGGGACTGTTTGGGAGAGCAGGAGCTGGCACACTGACATTGTGCACCCTGCTCTTGGCCTCTCTCTGCATGGGCGGCTGCTTCAGCCTGCCAACCCTGCCATCTGCTTCAGGGAGGCCTGGGCATTTTCTGCATGGTGGCTTGCAGTTGAGTCTGAAATTGACAGTGGTGCCTTTGGAAGTTCAAAGGCAAAAGACAAAACTGCAAATGAGTTCAGAGAAAGGGAGTATAACATGATTTTCAGAATTACTGTGGGTGTGCAGGTATTTGTGTTTTCTTTTGTTGTTGTTGCTGCAATTTTGGCTCACTGCAACCCCCGCCTTCTAAGTTCAAGCGATTCTCCTGCCTCAGTCTCCTGAGTAGCTGGCCTAATAGGCGTATGCCACCGTGCCCAGCAAATTTTTGTATTTTTAGTAGAGTTGGGGTTTCATCATATTGACCAGGCTGGTCTCGAACTTCCCAACCTCAGCTGATCGGCCCGCCTCAGCCTCCCAAAGTGTTGGGATTACAGGCATGAGGCACTGCATTCGACCAGATGTGATATTTTAAAAGCAAACTTCAAATTTGATTAATTGCAGGTATTTTGTTAAACTCAAGCCTTTGTTGAAAGGTCTGGCTTCAACTTTTCAACAAGCATTACTTGGCCTAGTCTGAGTATTAACACCTTTGAGTAGACATTTTACAGAGAGATTTTTACATTAAAAGGTAAAGAATGAATTGGAAGATCTGGCACCACTAGGCGGGCATTTCAGCCTCAGAATAGTGCCCTGGAGCTGGTAGGGCTTTGCACTAGCTGACATGGCACGTGGAGTTTGAAGTTTGTGACCCTGCAGTCTGGAGTTTGTGACCCTGGCTTCTTCAATGGCTCAGAGTTTAACGGCTGTTTGCAGAGAACACCCAGGGAGGGGGTTTTCATGTTTTGAGCGGACGCAGCAGGGTGCTTGTCTTTATGCAACAAAAGAAGGGAAAAAAAATTCAGAACTTCAGCATACTGTTTGCTGCTCAATCAAGGGGAACTCGGGTGGTCTTTCTGAGCTTTTCTTCTCCTACAAAGCAATAATTTTTAAGGATCTGCAGTTTCAAGAACAAAACAGAGAGTGACCACGACCAGTCCTGTGTGTGTGGGGAGCCACACGCAGGCAGGAGGTGCCCGTTGGCCGGTGTCCATAACTGGAGTCCTGTGTGTTTGGCGGCCAGCTGAGCCTTCCGGACTTGCCAGATGTTTTCTGATTCTGTAGCCCTGGCTGCCTGTGGGGAGCCCCCTTTGAGCCATGTTGAGGAAGCTGTGATCTGAAACTGTAACCTGGGCCTTTCGAAGCCCCTCGCCTCCCGCCAGGGCAGAGTGGGCCCCAGATGTGTGCACCATGCTGCTAGGGACACATGGGGAGAGATGCCTGCCACAGTTCACATCTGCAGCCTTGTCCCTTCTGGATTCCTGTGGTCCTGAAGTCAAGGAAAGAGCTCAGATGAAGAGGTGAGCTTGCGGGTCAGCTGTTGTGCTCCATGGGCATGGAAGCTTTCCTAAGACAGTTTTTCTCTCTACTCCATGAATAAGACTAAAGGCAAATTTCCCTGCTTTTTGGTCTGGGGGCCACATTTGCAGAGTCCCTTCCAGGCAGATGCTGTGTTCACCTGCCTGAGGTTCTGTCTGCCTGGCAGCATGACTGTTGTTCACCATCCTCTCCTGCCAGCAAGGGTTCTGCCATTCTGTTCTGGAGTAGTTTGCTCACCAGTGTGGAAAGACAGGACTGGCTGTGTTGTGGCCATCCTGTACCCTGAGATCCTCACACAAATCCTTGTCTGTGAACTCTGCTGTGCCCCTGAGTTCATCATGAAGTGTCTTGTCCAGAATCCAAGAGTCCTGTTACTGAGTTACACACTGTTTAAATGGATGCTCCAGCCTCCCTCCTAACTCTGACCCCTCACAGAGTTCTCTACCCTGTTAATCTACAGAGCCCACACATCAGAGACACAGGTATTTACCAGAAAGGCCGTTTTGATTTTACATACGTGAGAGCTTTCTCTACTTCTGTCTCAAACTCCTCACATCCCATCAGCTTCTGGACCTCTCTAACCTGGCTCTGCACCCCCAGCCCACTGGCAGGGTTTTCCTCCAAGACTTTCCCAGTAGTTTCCTAGGGGCAAAACCCAGTGGACGTTTTCCAGCCGTTGATGCTATTAAGACATCCTTCTTGCAGTGCTTTCTGGGTTTCCAGAACTCTCGCCCTAGCCCTCCTCTGCATCCAAAACTAGCTCTGATCCTTTGTAGGAGACTCCCTTCCACAAACCTGCTCCTACCCCTTAAATGTTAGTGCAGATGCACCCTTTGCCTGCTACCTTTCTCCTTATTTTATTTTTAGTCCAGACATCTAGATTGCCAAGAGCAGAAATCTACTCAAACTAGTTTAGACAAAAATGCTGACTGCCTTAAGAATGCAGGAAGATCTCATGGACCTCAGGGGCAGAGGTTGTGGGGCCCAGGGACCACACTCCTGGGGCCCAGGCCAGGGACCACACTCCTGGGGCCCAGGCCAGGGAGGGGAGAGTCAAAAGGAACATGAATGTCTGATTCCATCTCATGCCCCCTTCCCTTTCATTAACCATAAGCCTGACCTGCTTCTCCAGGCTCTCCCTGGGAGCCAGCCACCTGCTACCCCCAGTAGGCTTGCTTTTTCAGCTTAAGCACTTAACTAACTGCTTCTCCATGCCCCAAGGGCTTTACAAAGGTGCTTTTCTGTTGGCTCAGCTATTCCACTTCTAGGAACTTGATCTTGAGAACATATTGTGAGAGTTGCACTCAGGTTTAAGTTCATGAATGCTCGCCATAAAATTATTTATGATGGGGAACAGGTAGAAACACTTTGAGTAGCCCATAGTAAGAGATTGTTAAATCACTGATGATATATTAAAATGACAAACTTTTATCATATTTTTCAAAATGATTCTGAATCATTTTTGAAAAGAATTTATTGAGAAAATGAGATAAATGGAAAAGAAGATGTGAAAGTATATTATCTCAATTTTAAAATATATGCATATATATCCTAAAGTATACCAAATATTTATTAACAGTAGTTGTCTCAGGGTAATGGGATGGCTGATGACTTTTTTCTCTATACATTTTTGTATTTTTTGTTATTTTAAATACAACTTGGTGCAGAACTCCAGTCCTCTTGGAAGCTTCTCTTGGCTTCCTCAGGCTGGGCTGGGTTCCTCTGAGTGTTCCTGGTATTGGGCCCACATTCTTACTGTTACACTTACTATGTGGCCCTCTATTTCTTGAAGAGAAAGCCTTTGTGCGTGCATCTTTAATTTTCTTGTACTCAGGAAAGTACTGACCGTGGCTGATAATAAATGTCTGTTGGCTGTAGAAATTTAAGTCAACAGAGAAATATTTTTGATAAGTTCAAACATTTGCTAGGTTCAGATGTCTGGTATTTTGCTTCAAACATGGTTAGAATAATGCTTTGGTTTCCCTTTTCACTTTCTGAGCAGCTTGGCACTGTATTGATCAGATAGTGATAAAGTTGATTATTGGAGCTTAAGAAATATAAGTATATGTAGCTGGGCACTGAGGCTCACTCCTGTAATTCTAGCTACTCAAGAGGCTGAGGTGGGAAGGTCCCCTGAGTTCAGGAGTTCAAGGCTGCAGTGAGCTGTGATTGCATCTCTGCACTCCAGCCTGGGTGATGGAGTGAGACCTTATCTCTAAAAGAGATGTATGTACGTGAACATGGTTTAACTGTTGAGACTTAGACAACTTTTTATTTTGAAATTGTTGTAAATTAACATCCATTTTTGGCCACGCATGGTGGCTCACCCCTATAATACCAGCACTTTGGGAGGTGGAGGTGGGTGGATCACCTGAGGTCAGGAGTTCAAGACCAACCTGGACAACATGGTAAAACCCTGTCTCTACTAAAAATATAAAAATTAGCCGGGTGTGGTGGCATGTACCTGTAGCCCCAGTTACTCAGGAGGTGGAGGCTGAAGAATCACTTGAACCTGAGAGGCAGAGGTTGTAGTAAGCCAAGATTATGCCACTGCACTCCAGCCTGGGCAACAGAGCAACAGAAAAAAAAATCCATTTCTAAAATTCATACACAGAGATGTCTTGTAACAGTTTGTGTCCTTTACCTAATTTCTCCCAATAACAGCATTTTGCAAAACCATAAAACAATATCACAAACAGGATATTAACACCCATACAATCAAAATGCAGAATATTTCTGTCATTATAAGTGGCCCTTATAGCCAAACCCATTTTCCTCCCACCACCACCTACTTCTTATTTTCTGGCCACCACTCATCTGTTCTCTGTTTCTATAATTTTGTCATATTAAGAATGTTACATTGATGAAATCATACAGTATGTAAACTTTGGGGATCCTTTTCTTTTATTCATTCAGCATACTTCTCTGGAGATTCATCCAGGTTGGCATGTGCATCGATAGTTTTTTTTTCTTTTTTTAATTGCTGAGGATGCCGTGGTGTGGATGTACCACACTTTGTTTAACTATTCATCTGCTGAAGGACATCCGGGCTGTTTCAAGTTTGTGGCTACCATGAACAAAATTGCTGTTGACATACATGTACAGTTTTCCATGTGAACTTAAGCTGTCATTTTTCTGGGACAAATGCATGGAATGCAATGTCTAGGTTGAATGGTTGCTACAGGTGTCTCTTTTGAGAAACTGTCAAGTTCTATTCCAGAGTGTCTGAGCCACTTTGCATTGCTACCGGCCATGTCTGAGTGACTGACCCAGTTTATCCGCATCCTTGCCAGCATTTGGGGATGTCACTATTTTTTATTGTAGCCACCCTGAAAGGCACGTGGGATATTTTATTGTAGTTGCATTTTGCATTTCTCTAACAGCTGCAGAAGTGAATCGTTTTTTCATGGGCTTGTTTTTCAATTGTACATTCTTGTTAGGGAAATGTCTGTAATTTTTTTTTTCATTTTTTTAACAAAATTGTGTAGTTTTTGCTGTTGAGTTTTGAGAGTCCTTTAGCATCTGGATACTAGTCCCTTGTTGGTTATGTGGTTTGCAAATATTTTTTCCCAGTCTGTGTGACTTTTCATCCTTTTCATATGGTTGTTTATGGAGCATAAGTTTTTAATTTTGATAAAGTCAAGTATAGTATATTAAGTTTTACTAATTTAGACTGCTTCTGGTGGCAAGCCTAAGAAGTCTGTTTATTCTTAGATCCCAAAGATTTTTCTTGTGGTTTTTTTTCTAAAGTCTTCTAGCTTACATTTTACATTTAGGTTTGTGGTCCATTTTGAGTTCATTTTTGAATAAAAGGTGAGGTTTATTTGAGTTTTATTTTCTGCAGTGGAAGTCCCACTGACTCAGCACCATTGATTGAAGAAACTGTCCTTCCACCATTGAATTACTTTGGCACTTTTGTCAAAAATCAGCTGAGCATGGCTGTGTGGGTCTATTTCTGGGCTCTCTGTTCTGTTGCATTGATCTGTGTCTGTCCTTGCACCAATACCACACTGCCTTGATGACTTTTGCAGTGGGATTTCAAACATTCCAATTCTGTGTTCTCGTGCCAGTGCACTTACCGTGCTGTGGCCCCCAGAGGCTGACCTATGTGCCTGTCCTTGCCTTTCAGATCTCTACGTGTATGCCGTCCTCGTGTGCTGCGTGGGGATCCTCAGCATTCTGCTCTTCATGCTGGTCATTGTCTGGCAGTCTGTGTTTAACAAGCGGAAATCCAGAGGTAAGAAAACAGATAAGATCATGTCTGGGATGGGAGAACACCCTGACCACAGGCGGGCAGAAGATGCTAGGCAAAGTACCACCTTGGTAGAAAAGTACATTGTGAGTCAGGGATTATTTACCTGTGACTGTGGGCAAAGTGAGCAAGCTGAGCTTCCCTTCGACTCTGCTAAAATACACTGTGGCCATCATTGACATCACTGAATTTCCCCTTTCTCAGTTTCTGAGGCCCCTTCTTGCTGTCAATCTCCGTGAAGAGCCTGCGGCATTAGATGAACCTAGGGGTGGAGTTTGACTCTGTCGCTTGAGGCTGAGGATTGGGGCAAGTTTCCAAGACATTCTGAATATTTCCAAGACATTTCCTTGTTTATGAAAGGGGATTGACATCCCCTTCTATCGGTGGACTGTTCTTGTGAATGTTCACCTGTAAGGCAGGTGGCACTTGGGAAGTCTTCCCTATTCTTTCCCTGATTGGTCTGAGAGTCCCCTTCCGTCTTCTTTCTCTTTGGTGTCCCTGTTTCCCTGCACTCTGCCCTCAGCCCCTTCCTGCCTTCTGCCTTCCTTCTCAGGAAAGTGTAGGTCTCATAACTTTCATCTCTCTCTGAATGCTGCCTGCTTTCTCTTGAGTCCCGGCTCCTCTGCAGTCCCTGATTTCACTTGCCTGCAGCTCCTGGTGGAGATCTCCTTTGAGAGGCCCTCCCTGCATCCTGCTTCAGAATCTCTAAAAAAGCTGGGGACACTGTGTCTCCCCAAGGTGACCAGGGTAAGAACCGAGCTCTGAAATTGGACTGATTCCGGTTCCAGTGGCTCTCTCACTTACAGGCTGACAACCTCCCTCTGTGCCTGCCCTTCTCATCTGCGACATGGAGGAGGCAGGAGTGCACCAGTCTCAGGCTTGTGGTGAGGACTAAGTTACCAAAAGAAAGATGCTAAAACCTTTAACACAGGCTCCAGTGAATGTCCTGCTTTTATGTTGACATATGGCTCTAATTATACGCAATAATTGTCACTATTAGCTCAAAATCATGGAGCTTGTAAGTGTTATATTCAGTGGTCATGGCTTGAGGGACTACTCCAACAGTGACTCTGTGCAGCATTAGCATGCGGGTGTGGGCAGGGCTAAGGGACAATGAGGGAAGTGACGCATCCAGGGATGAGTACCCATGGGACACTGTTTCCATCCTAGACCTCAAGGGACAAGGGGAGCAGAGGCTCCTGGAATGGACCATGCAATGGCTGCAGCTTTGGGAGAGGTGTCACCAACAGGGGCCTGCAGAGAGGGACTTAGCCCCTGACAAACCAGGAGGCAGCTAGGAGGGAGCCAGGATGGTACATCCTCAGCCCGTCTTCCCTCCCCACTGGGATCTCCTGCTGCTACTGCTCTTGGTTCCACCCACCAGAAGCCAGGGGGCCAGGGGCAGGAAGGTGCCTCCAGGGCTAAGCAGGGTGGACAAAGGTGGACAGGGATCTAGAGGACAGTGGAGAACTCCAGCACGCTCAGCAATCGGCGATCCAGTGGAGGCTGTAGCCTGGGTGTCTTTCCTCTGGAGCCTGTGCCCTCCCACCAGCCTCTGCGTGTGTCTCTGTGTTGTCTTTCAAAGCCAGCTCCAGGGCCTTTCCCTGCAACACCCACCCCCCTCATCAGTGGCAACGCAGCTTTTCTCCTGTGCTCAACCCCTGAGTACTCATGTGAGCTTATGGCATGTTGCATATGTGCCTTGGCATCGGCCTCCCTTTCAGAGGACAGTGTGTGAGGCAGGGACCATGCATTCAATTCATTTTCCTTGGAATTTGGCTCAGGACAGATGCCCAGCACATGGTGGACAAATGGGTTTATTTTCCACCTGCCTTACTCCCAACTGTGGGAGTGTGGAAGCCACATAGGCAGTTTCCAAGCTGGGTATACTCTGAAAGCACTTCCGCCTGGACTCAGGGGCATGACCAAGAGTCTACATGGGCTTCAGGACCTGCTAGGCCCTAGGCAGGGTCAGGGAAACAAAGCAAGGCCAAGAAGGGCAGACTGGGACATGGAGGAGCACCTGGCATCCTCCTCCAGGCCTCACAGAGAGGCTTCAGAGAATAGGGATCCCAGCTGCCTTATCCCAACTGGAGAGGGCCTCAGATGGTCTTGTGTGCACCTGTGCACAGTGCCTGAAAGCCCTCCCCAAACCCCAGCTGTCCAAAGCTTTGTCTGAGCACCGGCTGTGTGCCAGGCACCTCATGTGGCCCCTCCATGTGCTTATGTGACGCTGGATGAGAGCCACACCACTCTCACCTGACAGGCAGCACAGCTGAGGAGCTTGAGAAGGTCCTGAAACCAGGGAGTGGTAGAGTGAAGTGAAGCCCCAGCCTCCCAACTGCTGGGGTGTGGAAGCCACATAGGCAGTTTCCAGGCTGGGTTTCCAAGCCTCCCATGTTTCTGTTCAAGAAAACCTTGGCCATCAGGGGGCTGACATTGCCAAGGGAATCTCTGGGTGCAACTCCCAGTGGGACCTTGAGATAAACACAGGCCATCCCAGAAGCCAGGAGGCCACAGGCCAGCCCCTTGTTACTCTCAGCCTTGCTTACCTCAAGCCTGGCACCGTTTTGCCTCTAAGGGCACTCAACATTCACGTGAGCTGGAGCTGATTGCCACATATGTTGCTTGCCAAGCGCAGACATGCTTTCCCCTTCCCTCCCAAGCTGAGTCTCTGTCCTTGCTCTTTGTTGTGCCCACAGTGCCAGGAACCTCATCCCAGGGCCTTGACAGCACTGAGTCACCCTGGAAAATACCAATCCTGGTGGCCCAGGGCCCAGCCTGGAATTATTCTGCTGGTTCCTCAGTCACACTGGCTTCCAAAGGCCTTTGCTTCTTCGCGAATTAGTCCTGACCTGCTGCCTCAGAGTGGCTCCAACAATCCAACCTTCTGTGTCTGAGCTTTTAAAAGTGCAGTTTTTTAATGCACAAACTCGAACCACATAGGAAAGAGGAGTGGCCTGGCTTCTTTCTCTGTACTCATCAGTGTGAGCTGTGACACTGTTTGGTTTGCACAGATTGTGCCAGAACTGGAGACAGAACCTCCCAAGGCTTGTTAAGCACCCATGCCTCCCCTGTCCTGGGCACACTCTGCTTCCCTGTGAGGATGAAGCTAAGGCCCCTGGCCATTCTTCCCAGAGATGCAAGAAAAGGGAGCTGGGGGTTGCGTCCCACCCACAACTAGACTTGGGTGGAGAGGAGGCCTTTAAGCACAGAATGGGGTGGCTGTGGTTGAGGAGGAGCTGAGGATGGCCTGGGGGCATTGGAGAGGAGGAAGGGCTCGCTCACTTGGAGTCAGATACTTGGACAGCTGGAGTGAGATCCCTCCGGTCCTTCAGTGGGTGTCGGGTTACTCAGCTAGCTCTCTTGTCAGGCCCCCCCCGAGTGCCCATCTTTCCTTTGTGGAGTTTGGTAAGCCCCCCCTGGCGTGCTGGACTTGAGGCCTAGATTCAAGCTCCCTTATTTACAAAGTGGGTCTTCGGAACTCCCAACTCTTCTCACTCTAACTTTCGAATGAGAGTTCCTCTTACCTCTTGGGGATGTGGGAGATACTTTCACCATCTGGGTGGCTGCTCATCCTGGCAGAGAGGTGATCTGACCATTTTCTTTAGTATTCACATTCAAAAAGGTAAAAAGAAGCAAGTAAAATTAATTTTAATATTTTTTATTTAACCCACCATATCCAGAATATCATTTCAACAGTACCAATAAATAAAGACGATGAATGAGATATGTGATATTTATTTTTTTATGCTAAGGTATGGCTTCATCATCCCGTGTGATTTCACACCTCCAGCACGTTTCATTTTGAATTCATCACATTTCGGGACTTGACAGCTACCTGAGCTCACGGCTGCCATGTGGGACTACAGGACTCTGGACAGACAGCTGTGTGTGCTGGTCCTTTGCATGGAAGGAATGTGGCCTCTAAGTGGCATTTTTGTGCCGAGGGGGCAGGAGGTGGAGGACTTGCTTCTCCTTTTCAGCTTCCCACTTGGTGATAGAGGTGGTCCTGTCTTTATAACTGTTGGCCTGGAAGCTTTTCCAGGCAGGACTGATTCCTGGAGGGGGCTGGGCCCTGGGGCCTGGCATGGTGGAACACAGGGCTGTATGTAGTAAGGGGCACACCCTGGTCCTTTCTCTCCCACTGGGGAAATACAGGCAGGGGCTGTGGATTGAACCTCGAATGAGGGAGGTGCTTTTGCAGGCTGCAGGCCCCCCGCCTGTGCTGGGCTGCAGGAGTTGGGGAGAGTACTGTGGCCCTTCACTCTGAAAATGCTCCTGGGTGCTTACTGTGCCTGAAGTACTGTGACCTCTTGCAATGCTGGGGTGGCCACAATCCTTGTCTCAAGTGCAGACACTTGATGGATAGAGCAGAAACATCTATGGATCCTATAACAGGGGCCTGTGCAAAGCCTGGAGGTCAGAAGACGTGGTCAGGGCATAGGGGTAAGTTGGGGAGACATTAACCAGGCCTTGGAGGTCCCGACACTATTACAGGGCCTGATAAGATGGGGGAGAGGGTGCCTCCACCCCAAATGACCCAGCATGGGGTAGCAGTGGTGATAGGGACAGGTCTAGATGGGGAAGACAAAGGCTTCAGGCTGGACATGACACCTGTGAGGTTTGGCATGGGGTGAGACTGTGAGCAGCATGGTCTTAGCTGAAAAACAGAAGAAAGGGTGAGGGTGGTAGGGGTGGGTCAGGGCCTGCTACTTCTTATCAGGAGAGGTTGCAAAAATAAGCCTTCCTTTTAGAGATTTCAAAGTCCTAACAACCCTAAAATCACCATTTGAGAAGAACATATCCTGAGTGTTCACCTCTGTGCAGGATGGTTGTATGGAGGCAGAGCCTCTAGGTCAAGTGCCTGGGTGCCAGGCCACAGCCCACGGAGTGTATTGGCTCCATTATGCAACCCTTTATCAGCTACTTCTCTTCCTGATCTCCCTCACTTTCCAGTGGGTTTCCTAGGATTGCCTCCCACATAAACTCGACATTTGAACCTTTTTTCTTACGATTTCTGCTTCTTAGCACATTTAGGTTAATAGCACTAATTATGCTATGCATATTTAAGGGTGACTCTGGGTGAAGTCTATTTCTCAGCACCTGTAAACCTCATCTTTGATGTCCAGAATCACTTTTGGCCCTATGGGCAGTCCCTTTAATGGGACCATCAGCCCCACATACACCCCGCCGAGACCTCAGAATGGTGCCTGTACCTTACATGTACAGGAGTGCCTGTCACGTACAGGGGTGTGTCCCCTGTACCCTGGCACTGTCTGGCCTCACCAGGCTCCTGGCCCTTCTTAGTCAGCTCCCTGCCTCCGAGGAACAGTGCAGCTGCTCTACTGTCCCCTGCATTCCTGATCTCCAGGCTGCTCACCTTGTTACCCCTGGACTGGACTTGCCAAAATGCCACGCAGCTCATGGGATTCTCTTGGGTCGCAGTCTCAGCTCCGCTTGGCTCCAGCTGTGGCACAGTGGTCTGGCCATTTCTTCTGTGAGACTCTGTTTCCCCACCTGCAGGAGCCCTGACGCCAGCTGCCTAGAGTCTGCGAATGGTGCACAGTACAGTCAGCTCTCCCTCCCCATAGGTTCTGCACCGAAGATTCAACTAAACTCGGAAAGAAAATATTTGATAAAAAAACAAAAATAATACAAAAGTACAAATAATACTGATGAAAAAGACAGCATAACAATGGTTTACATAGCATTTACTTTGTATTCTGGATTATAAGTAATCTAGAGATGATTAAAAGTATTCAGGAGGATGTGTGTAGGTTATATGGAAATGTGGCTCCATTTTATGTAAAAGTCTTGAGCTTCTTTGGATTTTGGTATCTTTGGGAGGTTCTGGAGTCAATGCCCCAAAGATACGAGGGATGACTGTAGTTACAAGAGGGCTCTGGAGTCAGGCTGCCCAACTTTGGTGCTTCCCAGGTGTATTAGATTGCTAAGGCCGCCACAGCAAAGTACCACAGACTGGGTGCCTTTAACAACAATAATTTATTGTCTCACAGTTCTGAAGGCCAGAAGTCTTGAGATCAAGTTGTCAGTGGGATTCATTTCTCCTGAACCCTCTCTCTGGGCTTAAGAGACTGCTGCTCTCCCTGTGTCTTCACATGGTCTTCCCTCTGTGCCTGTCTTTGCTGTAATCTTTACTTTTAAGGACACTAGTCAAATTAGATTAGGGTTTATCCTATGGGCTTATTTTAAGTTAATTACCTCTTTAAAGACTCTATCTCCAAATGCAGTCGCATTCTGAAATACTGGGGATTAGGCTTCAGATAGTCTCAGTGGAGGAGACATAATTCAGCCCATAACACCACCTGGGTGACCTTGGACAAGTTTATTAACCTCTCTGTGCTTCAATGTCCTGCCCCGTAAAATAGTAGTAATGACAAGGCTACTGTGAAGATTAAATTAGGATACAAAGTTGTGGTCTTCAAACTTTTTTGCTGTGCACTCGATCTTTATTTTATTGTTGGCATTTAAACTTATCACAAATGTAAATTGTTGCAAATGATGTAATTTCCATCTTTCACGTTTAAAAATGAAATGATTATATCCATTTTTCTTTTACATCTAAATGTCTTGAATTTAATGATTGTCTTCATTTACTTAAAGCCATCATGAGAAAAAAAGGCCTACCCAAACACGCTTTGGCTGTTAGAAATTTTGTATTGTTCCTTCTTCTCCTTGCCTTTTATCTCAATACACTTCCCCACAAAATTTCATCCTGTGGTAACACATCTTTTATTTTGAAGGTTCTTTATTGATTACCCTATTATACTTAATCTGTAAGATAATATGTGTATACAAATTTAAATTAATACTTTTTAAATTTCCTCATTTCATAAGTGTCTAAGTGTTGAAATATTTTTAGATTGAATTATCAGTATTGGACAATTAGTAAACTTTAGAGAATTATTATAAAATTATTCAAAATGACATAAACATATACATTTAGACATATAATATACATTTAGATATATAATTAACAACGTTAAGAAGCAAAATTTACTGGGAATGTATTTTATTGAAATTAATTTTAATTTTTACCTCGTATACCCTTGTGTGATTTTTTTTTTTTAGGGATAAAATTCACCACCAATTTTGTTAATAGATATTAGCTCTGAAATACTTCAGAATAAAGAGAGTGTGAATGAATGAGTGAAATTTTCTTATACTCCTCAGTTTTTAGAACTGCTTCCAAGGTATATGTCAAAAGTCATATCATGATTTATCATCCAACATGATTTTTAATACTCTACCAGATGACAACTGGACTAGGTCATTATTCAATCCTTGTTGAAAGCAAAGTAGTATTAGAAGCATCCCCCTCTTGAGAAAGATTTAGTTGCCTAGTCAATAATTCGCTTTCTTGACACAAATATTAGTATTTTCCATCAATTTTTGTTTGTTGCCCCATTTATGTTTCCCTCTGGGACAGGTGTCCAGGATGGGTGTGCTTTGATTTTATGAATAGAAAAGGGTGATGTTAAAAGTGGGGAGGGGAAATAAATACAGCCAGACCTCAGGCGTGTTCTAAGAGTATATATTTTTGTGAAATGTATTCACAAGAATACATTTCCATGTCCTCAGGTGGAAACTGATTCCTTAAAACTGTTTTCCTGAAAAGTACCCAGGGGTATGCAAACCCTAGACTGAAGACCACTGATCCATCTAATAAGCTTAGAATAGTGTCAGGGACACATGAAATGTTCAATGAATGCTAACTGTGGTTGTTATTATTGTTGCATCTTTAGATTATTTAGTATACCATAGGTGCTCAATAAATGGAATGCAGAAAAAGTTTAGATATTAATAGGATGCTGAACCAGATGAACCTGTACAGCTCCCTTTGAAGCTGAGATTCTCTCATCTCACTCTGGAACATGTATAACAGATCACTCCATATATAATAGCTTAAAGCAACTGTTATTTGCTCTCAATTCCACAGGTTGCCAATTTGGGCCGGGCTCAGCTGAGCATTTCTTCCGCTGGTCTCAGCTGCAGTCATTCAGGCAGCTGCAGTCTCTTGGTGCATCACCTGGGACCTGGTTGCTTTGGGCCTGGGCTGCGATAGCTGGTGTCTGCTCCATGTAGTCTCATCTTCCAGTAGGCTAGCCAAGCTTCCTCATATGGTAGTAGAAGAGTTCCCTGCAACAAGAGAGAGTGGGCAAACCCCATAGCACAGATGTCCTTCACACCTCTGCTTGTGACACACTGGCTAATGTTCTCTTGACCAAAGCAAGTTCATGTGGCAAAGCCCAGAGTCAGTGTGGGAGGGGATACACATGGGTGTGGATAGATGCAAGGAGGTGTGATTCACTGGGTCCACTGATGTAACAATCTACCATACAATGCAAGGGTCCCCCTGGTTACTTAAGCTTTACTTCTATTTGAAGTAAACTCAGCTGGGAAACTCAGAGTGGACACTTGCTGGATTATGTGCCTAGATATTCTTACTTTTCCACTGGAGCCAGAATCATTTGGTTTTCCTCAAAGAGAGCCACTGTAGAAGTAGGTTTTGCTCTAAGACTGTTTTCCCAAGGGCCTCTTTTTAGTCCTGGAAGAGCATTAATCAAACCCATTTTACCACAAGGAGCTTCTAAATGGACAGGTTATTCCATCTGGCCTCAAGAGGGCTTGCTTATGACTCAGGCAGAGCTTAGAGCTTAGAGCTTAATGGTGGGTAACTATTACTCCAGGACCCCAACTCAACTTGCCTTGGCCCAAAATGAACATTTTGGGTTTTGTACCCAGGAAGCCTGGAGTGTATGGGTTAAAGCCTGGCTAGATCCACAGCTGAAACATATTGTCACTGTGGTGTCCATGTGATGGCTCTGCTGTGCTCCTCCATAGAGAAGTATGCAAGCCTTGAGAGTTGGCTGGTATAGTACCAATATCTGAACAGCACCTGGCTTCCTGCATTTCCTGGTAATTCCTGGAACATATATATCTGAAGTAGCATTGGTTTACTATCTTCTATTATTTTTCTTTTCACAGTGAGACATTATTTGGTGAAATGCCCTCAGAACAGGTAAGAATATTTGCTTCCTTTTTTTGAATGGAACTCTTTGCCATTTAACTTTCTTTTGATATTACCAAGAAATTGATTAAATTTGTATTTTTACCTAAAGGTCTGCATATCTGTCCACAAATATGCCTACAAATGTGTATTCTGCAGGCATTTGCATGTTTCCAGGTTCTATAGTCTGGTTGTCACCCCAAGGGATCCAGGGAGCACATAGCTTTTGCTGGCCCAGCAGGCTTGCTGGAGGAGGCTTTGTGTGTGGTTCTGCAGAGCTGCTCCCCAGTTTAGGAAGGGGCTCACATCTGGTCTGAACCACTTTGATACATTTTGACCACAGATACCTCTAATTCTCTTCACTAATGCTGACTTATTGTATGCCCTGCTTTTAGCTGGTTAGACATACCTTAAAGGTAACATAATAGTTATAAGAGATATTGCTAATCAAAGTATTTAAAAATTTGGAACTTCTGATCCAGACGAGATGGCATAAGTCTGTTTCTTCCTTCTCTTCTCTGCTAAGTAAAGCTATAAACCTTGGAAATAACATTAAAGACAACCAAATGAAGACTTTGAAAGGTGGTGAAAAGAGGTAAACTGGTTTGGGATCCCAGGACTGGAGGAGTAACACAGCTGTAATACATCTTGTGTTTTCCCATCCAACAGCAGAAGGTCACCCAGACCTGCTTTTTTCCTACTCCAGTCTAGCAACAGAAAACATTCAGGGAAGCACATTCCTCTCCTGGATTGAAGGGGAGTTCCTCTGAAAACCACAAGTGAGCCCAGCATCAGCTACAAACAGGATGTATCAGGAGCTCCTCCCACAATAAGCACCAGAGGAAGAGCTTACTTTTTCTTCCAGGCTGAGACTCCCTTTCTCAGCCAGGTGACACCAAGTTTTCAGGGAGGAGCCAGCAAGAGGCACCTGGACACAAAATTGGCCCAGCAAGGAAGCTTCTTTATCTCCATGGACGTGAGGCTTCTCTCCCCTAATGAAAACCATCCAGATTCCAAATCTGAGGAAACTCCCTCTGCCCTCTCTGGCAGCCCCAGCAGGGCCCAGTGGCACCATGTAAATCAAACAGACCAAAATAATACTGTAAAGGCTCTGAAAATGAAAACGCCATTGGAACTATAGCCTATAGAGACAGACCAGGATTACACGATAAACCTGGGTGACTGCCTACAAAAATAAGAGATTTCAGTAAGACCCGGAACGTTCTAACAGGATACCATAA